TGTGCTTTTATTGTATTCATAAATGATCATTTATTAACTTCTTGGATAAAAGAGGATGATTTGCATTTCTTTTCTTCCTTGTTATAGTTTTAGGTGTCTTTCTTGATTCTGCCAGCATACCTCTGTGACATCTGACACTCCCTCTCTCCTTTCTAGTATGCTTAGGGTGCCATCATGTACTTGCATAATCTATCCTGGCACTTGTGACAGACCCTAGTGAAATTTGGTTTCACTGCAATACTTCATTTAAGGCACTATGTGAGAACAAATATATATCATCCTCTCCAATGGGAAAAAAAAAAAGTGCACAAGCATGCAGAAATCTGAAGGAAGTGAGCAAAGGGACTTTACTGATGATGTGTGTTGTGAATCCGGTGCATGTGTATAGATAAGTGTGTGCTCATTCTAAGAAACAGCACAGACTCTGAGTGATAAGGACTGTGCCGTCTGTGCAAAGGTGAGGGTAATAAGGTGATGAGATGATGATAGTGCTCTGATGCCATGCAACTTCAAAGAAAATGTTACAGCCAAGCAAGCTCATATTAGAGAAATATCTGATCCACCACTACTACTTCTTCCTCAGTGGCACAATCAATAGGACAAGTTTTGACTAGGTACTATTTTAGTAACAGTCATGAAAAAATACTTCTGAATACTTCTGAAAGCATGTAGTATTGCAGGAGCATTTGAGCCTCCTTGTTAAACTAAAGCATCATGCAGACCTTACATCCTCAGGACTCTAACCAAACCCCTAAAAGTGTCAGTATCTGTTCAATAACCATGACATGGACTGGAGGGACTTTTCTGCTTGCTCCTCACATAAGACCTGCAAGGAGATCCAAGTGTGAAGATGGGCACAAGCTTCATGTTGAAGTGCTATATATTTARCAGGATTAGTCACCAGTGCCCGGTCCCTTTCTCCTGCTGAGGTGACCCAGGAGACACACCACAGGATTAAGGGCATGGTCATCAACACACACTGCCTGGTGCTGCTTGACTTTGGTAGCATATTGGAGCGATTGGTCAGTAGGCAGGAGGAGGGATGGGGGAGAGACAGGTCAGCCTGCTGTATTGCTGCATCCTACTCAGGTCTGACTTGTATGCACAGTGCCTGGGAAGTGAGGTCCTGCATCCCATGTCTGAGATCCTCCTGCCCTGCCAGCATGTAACACCAAAGCCCAAGGGAACACAGACAGGTCGCTTGCTCGGTGCCTTGGGGAGCTGTACCATGCAGTGAAACTGTGGCAGTGACAGAAGAGTAGCATGTCAAGTGCAAAGCTACACAGATATTCTTTTCTGTCTAAGAAATGACTACAGAAATCTACAGAATCTATCTACAGAAATGACTGTAGATGCATAAGGCAATTTTCTACCAGAAAAGACATTACTGGGATAAAAGAAATCCTGGGAGTGTATGGAGAATATCAGATGGCCATATGTCTGACCTGACTGTAGGTCATGGGTGGATGTGTGCCAGAGTAAGGACACTGGCAGCAGTATAACCTATGACCCATTGTGTCACCAGGAATATGTACGTGACACCAGATTGTGCTGACAGGGAAAGAGGCTGGGCCAAGGACCCATCCTTCTCCTGAAAAGGTATTCTTGGAAAGAAGACAGGAAATGATCCGGGCTTACACTGATACAACTTATCTGCACAGAGGGACTTTGCCTCATACCTGAAACAGAAAAGCTACACGTACTAGTAGCCCCAAAGGGTCACTCCAGCACAGAGTTTTATTCAATGCAATGTGGAGCTGAAAGATCACTTCCCCACCATTCCTTTTCCTCTAGAAGCCTGTTCCTTCCCTAAAGCAGAGGCTGTCACCAGAGTTTTATAGACTCACTGTGTGAGAATTACAGATATTGCTACAGCAGTGCAGTCGAGGGCATATTCAGCACCCATTGCAGTAAAGGCGCAGACACATGATTTTCGGCACAAGCAACCCAACCTACTGAGCCCGCAGGAGCTAAGTTGGACTTGTTCATCCCACTTACAAGCTTGTACTCATTCACTTCACTGCTGTTGGCATCTGAACCTGCTGGTTCATCTGTGCTTGAACATCCTCACCATGCTGTACGCACAACCAGAAGCAATTACAGCAGCAACACTGCTTGCTCTCGTTAAATAATGGATCTTACTTAGCACCATGGGTTTAAGGATAGCGCTTACTACACTATCATAGGAGCAGGGCAGGCTGGGCAAAGAAGCTGTGTTCCCAATAGGACAAAGTTTATTCCAGGTACCTAATAACCAGTAGCTAGGCAGAACGTATCTGTAAGTTCTCCATCCTCCAACATGTGACCCAAAATAAAAATATCTAGAAATGACTGCAGTCCTGCTTAGACTGACAGAAGCAGCTGCCATAGCAGAGCTTTTTATCCAAACGTGGAGCTGTCGTCACTGACAGGAAATCTTATTGTCCAGGCAATCCTAGACTGTGACTAAATAGGCTGCCATTCTTGCAAAGCCAGGCACCTCCAGATAAAGTAGACAAGAGGGACAAGTAGCAAGTTGTTTCAGACAGGGATGAATCACCTGGCCGAAACTTCATCTAGGTGACAGCCCATGCTTTCTTACCCTATCCAAAAGGTTACAACCTCCAAGMAATCTCCCAGAGGTCAAGTATGGATTTGTAGAGACCATAAAATCAGACATAATCTGCCTGTGAAGGAATCCATTCCTTCTGCTCTCAGAGACTGAAAAGTTTGGGACTTGACACTGACGAAAAACACAGCAGACTCGCACTAGTTCAGGAGTGAAACATTTATGGGAACTGGTGGCTCCTCCCCATTTCCTTTGCAAAACATGTACCAGGGAATGCTTGGCACCTGCCTGACTAGTAATTCCTAAAATTGCTTAGCTATTTTTTCTTTCATGTGCTTGCCTTCACACTGAGATGAGCATTACCATCCCCATACTTGAAAACAGCAGCAGTGTTGACTCCACGCACTTCCCCTAGTAAAGGCCAACTGCTTTTCTCTGCAACATCCCACTCCTGCCCTGGGACTGCTACAAATGCTCCTGTCCCTGTGCAAATACCCAGAAAGACAGCAAGCCCCTCACCCACGTTATCTTCTGCAAGGAGGCAGCTATGTGTGTGTGCCAACAAAGACCATTGCAGCCAAAGAGCCCTGGGGTGCCCATGCTCAATATGGCCCTCAATCTTTCCTCATATCTCGATGAAATAGTTCACTTCTACCTCACCACAGTACTAGGGTGGGAAGAAGACAAGAAAAGGCAAGTGTCAKCTTGCTTTACTGTACCTACCACTTCAGCTCTCTGATGGGATATACATTAATACTTGTAAACTCAGTGCAGCACACACCTCAGCAATACCTCCCAACAAAACTAAGGGTGTAGAGTCCTAGGCTTGGTTCTTCGCACAGTATATGCTGGTGTTGCACGACTCCTGCTGGGCTAAGCAGACCTGTTTTTTTTGTGGTTTGGAGAGAGCACAGCACTCATTCGGCAACTGGACTGCTTCTGAGACCTGAGGTTGCTTGGATGTGCTACCTTGCAGTGTTGCCCTTTTGCTATGTTCGGCATTACTTGAGAAACTTGTTCCCACTGAAAAACAGAACACTATGATAGGCTCCCTTTTTTTTCCACTGAAAAAATGCAGAGCACAAAGAGGGAGTAAATGCTTTTTCTGCTGCACCCTCAGCTCAGCATGTCCCTTAGCTCAGCAGCAGCCATGACCTTCAATCGGCAAGTGCTTCCCACAGCCCAGAGGTCCTGGGTCTAGACTGCTGCTTAGCATTTCAGTCAAGTAACTAGGTCATGACCCCATGCCAACAACTGAGCTCCAAAGTTGGAGCACTGTTGTCCATATGCAAGCATAGCAGTATGTATGTGGTGTCCCAAGTCAGCTGGGTGAGAGAGGTTCCACGTGGTGTTCATGTCATGAACTGGTACGGCAGTATCAGCACTGGCAGGCACATCTGCATGCAAAATGCCATTTGGCCCTTTTCCTCTTTTGACAGCCAGCTGAACATGAGCCAGCAGGATGCCTAGGTGGCCAAGAGGGCCAGTGACATCCTGGTTTCYATCAGGAACAGTGTAGCCAGTGGGACTAGGGAAGCGATCATCCCTCTATATTTGGTGCTCCTGAAAGGTGGTTGTAGCAAGGCAGGGGTCAGTCTCTTCTCCAAAATATCTACCAAAAATAGGACAAGAGGAAATGGCCTTAAGTTGCACCAGGATAAGTTCAGGTTGGATATTAGAGAAAACTTCTACATGAAAAGAATAGTCAAGCACGGAAACAGGCTGCCCAAGAAAGAGGTGGAGTCATCATCCCTGGCAGTGTTTAAGAAACATGTAGATGAGGCACTTAAGGACATGGTTTAACAGGTATGGTGTTGAAGGGCTTACGGTTGGACTTGGTGATTAAAAGGTCTTTTGCAACCATAATGATTCTATGCATCTGTTATCTCCTTCACTTTCACTGAGGCACATCTGCAAAGCAAGGAGCAAACACTACACAGTGGTGCAGGAATTTTTATTTACTGAGAAACACATCATTCCTACCCAGTGCAACAGAAATTCAATGCATAGCAGTGGCTGCTGTAAACCTATAGATTGCAGGGAGTGCTACTTTTCGTAGTTTTACTAACATGACTTTTGTAGTTTTATTAATGTGACTTTAGCAATCAATGCAAGTTACCAAACTGGCAGACCCTGAAGACTGAGTGAGCTCAGTGTGAGTGACCCTGAAGACTGACTAGCTCCACTCACCCCCACTAAGCAAAATAACACCAGTGACTGTGCTGAAAGCAATCCACATTATCCTGCTAACAGTCTCAGCTAGGGGGAGCATGGAGATTTGGACACTGGGTCCCGACTTCCAACTCTAAAATGCCTTTCCCATCATTTGAGTCAGCCTTTCATCCTCTCTTTCCCCCGCAGTCCTTTGTGCTCCTCTCGCTCCTTCACATCCCTTCATATCTGGCCATGCCATTGCCCTCTGGAATGAGTCTGCATCTTGGGGAGGGGGAAAGGAAAAGGGATAGGCAGAAGCTCACAGATAACATCTTACATTATTTTTCCTAAGAAAACAGATATTTTTTTTCGTACACATAAAGCCAGGAAAGGACAAAGTTTTATCATGGACATTATTGAGTGCCTCTGCACTGCCTACAGTGATTCTTGGCCTCTCATCAAAGCATTCCCACATGTCTCGGATGGCCAATTGTGAGATGTACAAAACAGTGCTGGGGAAGCTACTCTAAGATGCAAGGCCAGTCCTGCAATGTGGTGTCCTGCTGTGCGTATGTGCTAACCCTGGAAACCGAACTCCTTGTACTTGCTGGCCATGTCATTTCGGAACAGCTCCAAAGCCTTCTTCATCGCAGCCTGGGAATCAGCCCCGAAGTCTGCAGAGTGCTTTTCCGCAATGACCTTGATGATGACTTCAGAAATGAACTGGGAGGGGAAAAAAAAAAAAAAAAAAAAACAGAAGGGACACTCAAGGTTTATTTTCAGAAAATTCATACTGAGAAATAGGTTGTAGAGCCTGGAAATATCCCTGAGCTAATTCAGTAGTGCTTTCCACAAGCTCTGGAGAGATGATGTGGTCTAGCATGCAAGATCCTGGCCTGGACTTGGGCCACTGGGCTCTGTTCCTTGCTCTGACACCAGTCTGCTTCATGATCTTGAGTAGACCATAGCACTCCCTGCTCTTTGTCTGCCTTGCCTCTTAAGTTTGTAGATTCATGCCCTGTGTATGTATAACAGTTTTGTAGCTCTTGGTTTCAAATGGATCCTCCAGGGCTTGCACTAAAATTGTATCTCCCTTGTGTTTAGCCACTGACTTTTCTTATATAATGTGATTTCCCAGGCACGCAGAGGCTGCTCGAGCTGGTTTATTATTGTCTAGGGTTGCTCAGAGTGCATATGGTATTTTGAATGGAAAATCTAATCTTGGAGATTCACATGCTGTGAGCTGAGCACTTTCTGTGCCTCCTCCTGCCTGTACACAGAAACCACTGACTTGATGGAGGACCCGCTGAAGTCCATTAGCTATCAATAAATAAAAGTGCAACTCTCATACAGCTGTCCTACATTGACTGGACATCAGACACCAAAATTCCCAGCTCTTTTCATACCTCCAGATATTTGACAGGTATTTTGTGCTTGGTGGCATGGGTTTGAGCCAAAGGTTTCAGCTCAGCCTCATGATTACCCTTCTGCTTCAGGATTTTGCCCAGCTGAGTAAGGACAGTAGCTCCATGTTTCTTTAGATCTTCAGAGGCCTTCATCTGATCAGGAGTTGTCAGACCTTTGAATTTTTCAAAGCGATCCAAGGTCTCAGGATGGTCATGAAAGAGTCTGCAGATAGAAGCAAGAGGACTTGTGAGACCTGAAAGGGCGATCATCTGAACCAGAGCTAAGGTCCAGGTGTTTCAGAGTATATGAATGGGCAGATGTGTGATAAACTGTTTCCATCCTTTAGGAAAACTCTTAGCTAGCCCCTGCTAGTAAAGATTACTTTGGTTTGGGAACCCTGAAGCTTCAGGACTTTTCCAAATAGTAATTATTCACATTCCTAGCATGTATATCAGCTAGGGAAGCATTTTTTCCCACTCTGAATGTTTTTTTATCCTTCCTTTGGTAGGTTGTTCCATAACCTGATGACACAGAGTGGGCAAAAGTTTCCTTTTTTAACCATTTTGTCCAAGACGTCTTTTTTCATTATCATCAAATGCCACTTGAGTTCCAGAGCAAAAACACTTGAGACACTTCCCTTTGACTACTATATCTGTACTGTTCAGCCCCATCCTCTTACACATGTCCTGTCTAATATAACTATCCCTATCTTTTTTCTTTACTGTTACAGAGACACTGTCTTACATATGTCTATCTGTTACAATAGGGCAAATGTCGTAGCAATTTGACACCAGTCATAGAAACATAGAATCTCTATAATTGGAAAAGACCTTCAAAATCATCAAGTCCAACTGTAAGCCCTTAAACACCATGCTTGCTAAACCATGTCCCTAAGCACCTCATCTACATGTTTCTTGAATGCTGCCATGGACAGTGATGCCACCACTTCCCTTGGCAACCTCTTCCAATGCTTGACTACTCTTTCCATGTAGAAATTCTTCCTAATGTCTAACCTGAACCTCCTCTGGTGCAACTTGAGGCCATCTCCTTCTGTTCTAGCTGTAGTTATTTTGGAGAAGAACCTGACCCCCACCTCACTACACCTCACTACAACCTCCTTTCAGGTAGTTGTAGAGAGTGACAAGGTCTTCCTAAGCCTCCTCTCCTCCAGACTAAATAATCCCAGCTCTCTCAGCCGCTCCTCATAAAATCTGTGTTCCAGCCCCTTCACCAGCTTTGTTGCCCTTCTTTGGACACTTTCTAGCAGCTCAATTTCCTTCTTGTAGTCAGGGGCCCAAAACTGTACAGAGTATTCAAAATGCGGCCTCACTAGCACTGAGTACAGGGCAATGATCACTTCCCTGCTCCTGCTGGCTACACTGTTCATGAYACAAGCCAGGAGGCCGTTGACCTTCTTGGCCACCTGGGCACACTGCTTGCTCATGTTCAGTCAGTTGTCAACCAACACCCTCTGCTCCTTTTTTGCTGCACAGCTCTCCAGTCACTCTGTCCCAAGACTGTAGCACTGCATGGCATTGTTGTGACCAAAGTGCTGCACCAAGCACTTGGCCTTGTTGAACCTCAACTTTGTTGAACCCAGTCCCCTGGGTTATGTCAAATGTACTGGGAGATAATCAAGAGCTAAGGCTGATTAGTGCAGCAAAAGATAAGTTTATGAAAGCATTTATCTGAAGGAAAAACAAAATCATTTTTCTTCTTTCATTCTATTGTTGAGAAACCAACTCGTTCCTCCTTCAGCCTGCCATTCTCCTGCAGTGAGGTATTGCATCCCCTTTGCTCTTACCAAGCAGCCCAGGAAGAGGAGAGTTTTGATGATTCTCAAATACACTCTAAAAGTCCCTCATGAACAGGACTCCAATGGGCTTGAACGTCAGCTCAGTGTGAGAGCTTACTATGCCCCCTTCCTTGCGAACGTGAATACAGAGGGTCTTGGTTCCTGCCCTTTTCTCCCATCTCCCAGCTAAACTCAGACAGTTCACCATGGTTCTGTTGTCAAGCACTACAGCACCTCAGAGAGTCCTTGGGAGCAAGTAACAGGAGCACAAGGCCTTCAGACATAGGCATTTTGTTCCCAAAATGGAAGTAAAGAAGGTGGAAGAGTGGCCCAAAGCCACATTAGTTTGTTCCCCATGCTTTTTCCCTGCTGCATTTYTCTGGGATGCAGACATCAGTGGCAACCAAATCAGTAGGAAATTTAACTCCTTTTCTTTGTCAGGCTCCTAAAATCCAGGTGGGAAGGGGGCATGATTATTCAGAGCAGTCAGTTATGTGTTGTGACATCAGCTGCCTCATGCAGGCTTATTTGCAAAGAGGTATTACACTCCCTGATGGGACTAATCTGACCACTTGAAGCATTGGCAAAAAAATGATGGCTATCCTTACCAAAGGGGCCTGGGGCTGTATCTGTGAAATGGCTCATTCACGCTTCTTGAGATGGTGTCTACAGCTCTTGAGCCCAAGACATTAGTTACAAAATCAACTTTCCCCTCACAGGGCAGTAGTCACTCACTTTCCCTGCCCTCAGAAGTCTACTGGTGCTGGGATTGTCTAAGAGRTTGTATATCACCTTGAACTAAACATTCCTTCTACATTGGTGGCCATTTGGATGATGGCCAGACTTTCCTTCTTATTATGTGATTATGTATTAGCCTGCGTTAATAAATACCTCAAGTACTTGGAAAATACAAGCTGTCATGTTCAGTCTTTGACAGCTTTTCATTTCAGCTGTCTCCTATAGTATCAAAACAAAGTATTTCTGCACTGCTTTTTGTCCTCTACCTACTGCTGAGAACACCTTTCCTATTTGCTATATCTTTCCATGGCACAGGTTGTCTCACACCTTGGGAGAAGAAAGAGATTTAGCAAAACCTTGCAGCATTAAGTAGGATGGATTTATAATAGATTCTGTATTTCTAACAAATCTCTCTCCATCGTGTCTGGCTAGGTCTGAACCATGTCTCCAGAAGATGATATACCCCTGAGACTCTTGAAAATTCTTTCAAGGAGTAGTTTTTGTTTCCTTTGGATCGCATCCAGTTGAATCAATATTTTCTAAACATGTTCCCAGGATCTGACATCTACCTAGCAGACTTTTAACAATTCACAAGTGGAGACATATTCAAACTAAGAGAAGTTTTTTGGTCTTCCCCTGCTTTTCTCCTCACTCAGAAATCCCATGAGGAAACAAAAATTTACATGGGTTGGCTGGAGGGCATAAGGGAGGCTGGTGTCATCTATTGATTTAATGCTGTGCTCTGCCTCGCAACACTTTCCTCTTCTTTTCTACTATATTACTAAAATGTGACGTTCCCATCACTGCAACCAGCTTTAGCAGAATGCCATGACAGACATTTTTCCTGTGAATGCCTCTGCCTGGGCTATGAGGTCTTTGGAGGAAAAACAGTATTACCTTTTTGGTCTGGAAAATGTTTTTACTGCCTTATGTCTCTTCTAGAGCCAACCAGTCACCTAATGGAGGTGGACTGGCAAGGAGGTCTCAGGGTCCTGCTACCYTCTTTAGTCAATGTAACATACCTGCTCTGGACTATGTGCAGAGAGTTGTCACATTGCCACGCTGCTACCCACCTCCCTTCCAGATTGCAGCAGAACTGGGCCATGATAAAGAACATAAATAAAACAGCTTCAGCTCTTCTTTGAAAAGGCTTTGAGTGGACTGTGGGTTTGCCAAGTGATGTAGATGTGCTTGAGACAGAAACCCACCAAGCCAGAGTGCAACATGCCACATCCCCACCACTCTCCACAGCACCATCTTCTAGCACATCGTACTGAGCACAGACTAAGGGAGGGATAATGGACAGTGTCCTTCATGTGTCAATGAGAGAATGCCCATGCACCRTTTACTGCGGTACCACAGATTTACAAAATGGAAACACCAAAGATGTATCTTTTTCTCAGCAGAAGAGTTTGTTTCATGCTGCATTGCACCCATATAGCCTGTCAGCACACAGATAAAGCAAAGGATCCCAGAGGCAAAAACTGGTGAAGATCCCACTTCAAGGAGGGCACATCCCAGTAGTGAAAATCCACCTTGGAGAGCTTCCATTGGACAAGACTTCAAGGACACTGAAATGCATGTCTGTAAAGGGCTATAGAAAAGAACAAGGCAATAAACTGCTCTCTGGGTTGAACGGGGCCAGAACAAAAAGCCAAGGACTAAACTCCAGCAAACACAGCTTAGGCAGAACATTAGGAAAAGCTTTTTGTCCGTAAGGAGAGCAAACCATTAAAATGACATGTCTTGTGAGGACACCATGAGTCTCCGCATAGGACAGGCAAGGATCCAGTGTCCATCTCATGCTGTTTCGTGCTCTAAGCTAATCTCTGTGACATTAAGATCCCTTCCAGACTGTATTCTTCTRTCTCGCAGCTGCTGCCCTCCTTGTTGCCCACACCAGACATCAGGAGTACAAAGACAGCRTGGAGGCAGGGGTCCTCTCAGATAGGGATCTCACCACAGATCCCACTCTGATGGCAGAATCACAGAGGAGAGGAAGAGGGAGAAGAATGTGCCTCACACCTAGACTTCAGCAGCTACTGCCCAAGTTTTGCCACACAGATTTCTAAGGAGTATGGCCAAAGGGTAGAAGAGGAAGAACAGGGCTCTGCCAGGAGACACTAAGAGGAGCAGAGAGAAACACTCAGATAATTTATAGTCAATTTACTGAAATCAGAGATTCCAATAAATCTGTCCAAGAGGTGATTTTTCCTGTCCTTTCCTTCTCTACCTGCCCAAAGCTTTGCTGCAGAGCATCTGGATGCCTGAGGCACACAGTCCACTTCAGTGTTTCTTGTTATTGTGCTTGGGCAATGAAATTACAAAGCAGCTTTAGCAGCAGGTTTCACAAAGGGAGCAACAAAGTCCTAAAATCTTTTGAAGGCAGCCTGATCCTATGCTCATGGACAGATGGAGAGACAGAAGCGCAGCCGCTTTAAACAGTAATTTTTAACCAAGAAACCATAGAAATGTRTATATCACTGCCCTAACACAAAGAAAAGAGGAAGCTGGAATGAACACAGAAGACACATGAACACAAGTTTCAGTAGATACTATCATTGGTCTCTCATCAAAAGCTCTCAGCTCTGCTTTTAGGACCTRAGTTTCTTGCCTACCTCATTAAAACTTCATGTCCGTGGCCTGCGATGTCGGCCTCCACCTTCCCCCAGATTGTGAGGACCTGCTGCCATTCCTGGTCGCTGAGACCCATGCTTCGCTGAAGGGAGGTGTAGACGTGGGGAGAGCGTTTCCCGGAGCGCTACCTGCAGCTTTTTCCCTGTTCCCAAAGGGTGACTGGTGAGCTCCCCCACAGGATTTATATCCCCTCCTCACAGGCCTACACCTGTCAATCACAAGCTCGACATCTTGCTCCCTTTCAGGCTTGTCTAACCTCATCAGCCTCTCCTTTTTTTTTCCTAGGAAGCTATTTCGGGCCAGGTGCTATTGTGGGTGCCACTGTTGGCAAAATTTCTGCTTTTCGCATTGGACTGGCACATGTCCCGCTTTAGACAGAAAGGGCACTGCCTAAGCACAGTGCCAGGAGCCTGTTCTGGTTCCTGTCCCAAGGACCCAAGAGACAGAGTCAGACTGTTCAGCAAGAGATTCCTGAACAGCACTGTCATCTGCAAGTCCTCCYCCGCCTCCCTTTGCCCCTGCACTCCCAAGGGCACACACTTCAAAGTCCTTTCCTTTTCCCTGTTGATCTTATTTTCCTTTTGTCCTGTGGTAGCACACACCATTAACTTTTAGAGAAAAAGCACAGTGTTAAAAGAGACATCCTCAAGAGCTAATCATATCCGAAGTGGACCAAGCATTTCCCCAGCCTCTGCAGGAGGAAGGAAGGGGACAAAAACTATATGGGAGCCAATTATCCTGCACCTTCCTGCTGAGGCCTTTCTGCCTGCCTCTCCAGGAAACATCCAGTATTAGCCACCAATTGAGATGAGATATTGAAGCTGATAGACTTGCATCTGAGCCAGGAGGGATCAGACAGRGAGCTGACCCATCCAGGCCCAGAGTCTGTAGAACATGATAAGTCTTAACTCATCAGGTGCCCCGTGAGGACAAAGAGCTCTAGCTATCTCTGTCAAGCCAAACACTGGTGTTGGGAATGTGTGTGTCAGTGGGACACCTCCCAGGCTCTCCTCCAGCCTCCCTCAGCACCAGTAATGGCCTGGCACACCAACAAATTGATTGACCCTTTCCAAGGTCACAGAGCAAAACAAAACCAAGTTAATTTTGCTGTCCAGAATTGTACATGTAATTCTGGACAGGAGTCACAGGCCACAAGCCTTGACAGGAGAGAAATGTCACTCAAGGGATAAAGATCTGGGACTCAGAAGAGCGGTATCCAAGCTCACAGTCTTTAGCACCGCACTGCACAACCTGGGGCAAATCACTGCCCCTGCTCCTCATCCATACTCTGCAAGATGGGAGCAATCTCTCTACTCAAGTGTTGCAAGGGAAGTTCCTGCGTACAATAGCATGAAGGTACCTATAAGGGTCTAGGAACAAAGACTAAGACCTCTCAGAAGCACATAAAGAGGCTAGCTTGGGTAGGAAGGTTGGGAAAAGCAAAATAAAGATGTTAGTTGGTGTCCAAGCATAGAGATAAAGAGAATTTTGGCCACTACATTTAGCAACTATTTGCCCGCCAAGTAAGCCTATAGGCCTCCTTTTCTCTCTCCTCCATACAGCAGTTTTCTGTTTGTTTGTTTCAGATCCAAAAAATCCACATCCTAAACACTTCAGAGCTAAGGATTCATTCTAATTTACTTTTGTAAACCCCATGGCACTTCCCATTATCCAAACTAAGCTAAACTAATGGAAAAGAGTTTGGGAATCCTCCAGCTAGTTCCTGTGTGTTGTTCTCCACAGCTGAGGGCCAAGACTAGAGGGATCACAGTCCAGCAGCCTCACTCCTCAAGCACTCATACTATTAACTAGTTTTTGGACCGTTCCAGCCTTGGGTAGGATCCTGAATACTGACCTTGCTGTTTTACACACATTTCAGACATAGCAGAAACAAACTCCTGGTACACCAGAGGGTGATGCTTTTTGCTGAATTTTGGCATACTACTCGAGTTGAAATTACTCAGTTGTCATAATAACTTATCTTAAATTTTATCAACTCTCCTTTCACTAYAGCTTTCCCAGGACTGTGCAGCCAACAGTTTCCTTATGGATATTAATGTTAAATGGTGAGAAGGAGTATGGAATTACATACTGTTTCTCCTTTTTTTTTTTTTTTTTAAAGTGAAATAGTAATGAAATGAAATCATAAGCTCTTCCCCCCCAGAGCTTAAATAAATACATTCTAAAGAAATGCTAAAAGCTTTATAGCACACCAGACTACATCTCAGTCCTGCAGCTGTAAAAAGGACATAACATTTTAGTATCCACCGCCCTCTCTTCTTCCCTTCCAGGCAAGATCTGTTCCTTGCAAAACACATAATTATCTAGATAAACTACTGCATATTGGCCATAATATTGGCCATAATATTGGCCATAATATTGGTCATCTCCTTTAAAAAGGCCTGGATGATTGAAATATAAAATAATAATAACATTCACAGCACATCCACATTGATATACTAAACATTACGGCAATGTTGCAAAATGAGCATCACTGCACTGTTAATATTTCCAGCTGCAGGGCTGTATCAGAATTCACCCCGTCCCCCACGKCAGCCCTAGGCAAGGGTCGGCAAAGCCCAGCTGCAGAGCCACCGAGCAGCCCAGCTGGCTCTGTTGGCCAGGGCTTGCTACCATCTAGTGGTCACGGGCGACAGAGCTGCGGGGAAGAGAGGCCACGTCCCAAGCTCCTTGTCTCCACAAAACTACAGCAGCAGTATTTCCAAGGGGAGCTGCAGGGGGAAGGCCTTTCCTCACAGCAGATGGAGGAGGAAAGGGATGCACTATCACAGGGGGCTTGCAGCTGATCTGGCATGGCTGGATCAGTTGTCATATTCCAGCAAGGCCAAATGGCATCCAGCTTTTTTCAGGTGGCAGCTGACAACCTGGGGCTCCTTCTGGCAAGCTCTAATCACACAGGGAGGCTCAAGTGCTTTGCAAGACCTGCAAGCAGACAAATTTCTCCCTTGCCCCAAAAATGCACACAGGATATTGCAAGTTCAAGTGGGCAGGTTTTGTTAAGTAGCCAACAGTTAGCCATGATCAATGTCCTCAGGGAACTGAGAGCATCGCAATACAATATAGAATTGTGACATCCACACGCCAGGAGCATCGCAGGACTCATCGCAGTTTGATGACAGATGGTAGAACTTCTTTAATGTACCATGTTTCAGTTCGCTGTATACAGGCAGTTTATTTTTCTTGAAAACTCCGCATTTTGGGGCAGAAGGGCCCTGAGCTGTTTGTTTAGTCTTGCCTGCAGCTTTGCGTCAAGTTGATAGAAGGAGGAAGARGCTGCCCCTTCCCCCCAGCTATTGAGCACTGGTGCTGATGGGGTTGCAAAGGACCCAGACAGTGGGATGAGAGCATAGGAAAAAACATGGAAAAGCATTAGAGCCACAGAGCAGGCTTTCCTAGGGATTGCATGGGACTGGTTTCAATGCAAGAAGTCTATAAAAGTTACTGTCCTTTGGGAAGGACAACCTCTCCCTCTTGTCCTGGAAGGGCRCAGTAGGCAAGGGAAGAATCATCCAAGGCAAAACAGTGGAAATGACTGYGCAGTACGTGACCTCTGATGACTTCTTCCTCAACAATTACAAAGACTGCTACAGGCATTAATGAATTTAGAACATACAACATCTTTGCAAATGCAAATGGTACTTGTTGTCCCCATTTATGAGGGATCAAAGAAATTATGAGACTTACTCAAGGCCACAAAAAGTGCCAGTGGAAAAGGGCAGGGTCTGGGGTATGGTTTTAGAAACACCATCTGTTTGTTGATCGTTAATATGGGGCCCAGGCACACAGGAGGAGATGGGAGGCATGGTAGGAATTTCAGACCAGCAACAGGGAGAGATCAGTTCCAAGTCATTTGAGCCGCATTCAATTTTTCTTAGAATATCACTATTATGAGGAGGGAAATTTAGCCTCACTCTGTAAAATGAGCGTATCAGAGCCCAACATCCCTCACATTTYCTTAAGAGTTAACATACCTACAATGATTTCTAGCCCTGCCTTCTTTGCCCTGCTGAATGCAGAGGAAGGTTTACGTAGAAAGAGACACTAGTAAAAATCATGGATATGTTTTCAGTTGAAGTATGTTCCTGAAAAATGCTGTTGGAGATAATGGGAAAGATCTTGCAAAAAGAAGTGCATTTTCCTCAAGAAGCAACGACCCAAACTATCATGTTTATTTAGACATCACAACTGATCAAAGGGTGAACAGATTTTTTTTGATTGAAAACTTTTTATTTTAATGAACCTTTTCCCCACCATACACTGAAAAGAATGGGAGCAGCTGACAGGTCTATGGCTCTGAGTGACAGCCGCAGCCCTAGCTCTGCTGTTGTGTAAAGTGCATAATTATGCTACACACTCGTCTGCCAGGGGAGCAGGCAGTGGGAAGACTACTTCTTAGAAAAATCCAGGCATATTACATAAGGCTGAATTGCATAATTATGCATTGCGTAATGCTGGGGGAAAGGCCCTCTGCAAGCTCCTGGGATTGGTCTCCACTAACTCAGCTTGGGTTTCTATGGCATTTTTGTGATTTACAGCTCCTTCTAAGGAATCCATGTGCACTTTGTTTCAGGAGCCTGCAGCTCAGTCCACGCACACAGTCAGTCAGGATGCCGGGGCTATTGGTTCTGGCTAGCCAGGGAGGCAACAGCAACTGCGTCTCACAGCCATAGCAAAGCAAGGGCACTGGGTTTGCTGTAGCTCTAACACGGCCTTCAGCACACACAGGAATTGGCCTTTGAAGACTATATCAGATGAGAAACTGTATGAAACCATACTACGTATCATCTGCCTCTTGTGGGAAACAAGGAGAACTGTAATCAGTGGTGGCAGTGACCCAAATCCCTTCTCTACTCTTTCTTCTCCTCCCCTGGCTCTTGAACCCTGCTGTAAGCAGGACAGGGCTCCTGGACACTGACAGATTTCAGCAGCTGGGAAGGGATGGGGGCCAGTTGCCAAAAAGGAAAAGGAAGGGTCAGGAGGGAGAGAATTCAGCATCTGGACAAGCTTTGGGCTGCGAATTTTTGCAGAATTGTGCTATACTCCTCACCTATCACTGGCACAGACTCT